TCCCTCTGCTGCTGCTGTTTCTGTCTCCTGTTGTCCTCCCTGCTGGTGGATCTGAAACGGCCCCCATGTTGCTCTCACCTCTCAGAGGAGGGGTGACTCTCTGGTCAGTGTCTGCTGTCACTCTGAATCCTCTGATGATGCCGACCGACAGGTGAGACGTTGGTTAGTGGGTGAAAGGAGCAGATGATGCCTCCTGATCCCAGTTTGGATCATCAGGCCAAAGACGGCCGGTTAAACAATTCTATTCAGTTTATTTCTATAGCGCCAATTCACATCATGTCATCTCAGGTCACTTTATAGATCCAGATCAACCAGATCATCCAGTCAGATTGATTCAAAGTTTTCTATCTAAGGAAAACCAGCTGATTGCATCGACTCATTGACTCTTCAGCAATCCCTCACACTAAGCATGCTTGTAGCGACAGTGGAGAGGAAAAACTCCCTTTGAACAGGAAGAAACCTCCAGCAGAACCAGGCTCAGTGTGAGCGGCCATCTGCTGAGGCCGAATGGGGTTCAAGGAGACAGAAGCAGACATAGAAAAAGAAGCATAGATACAAAAGGCAACTGTCAACCAGCTCCACAGGCGGCCCCGTCCAGGAAACACACAGCCAGGCAGACGAGCTCCGAGCCAGCTCCCATGTCAGAGGATGAAGAGAGCACATCCAGTTAGTCACAGTCAGAGAAACAGGACTACACTGAAAAACAGGCCAAGCTCCAACATCTAGAAACAAAGGTGTTGATGGCAGCAGCACAGCTGATATTTCTCTCCAGGATGGAGTCACAGCCAAACAGGAACAGACCAGATGAAGCTACTATGAGAAAAAGCAGAGAGAGCAGAACGTTAGAGATTGAACTAACAGATTCTGCAGAGAGGGGGAGAATAGAGATAGAATGAAGCAGAATGATGAAAAAGGGGTCCCTATGTCCTCCAGCAGTCTAAGCCTATAGCAGCAGAACTATAGAGATAGCTCAGGATAACCTGAGCCACTCTAACTAGAAGCTTTATCAAAAAGGAAAGTTTTAAGCTTAGCCTTAAAAGTAGACAGGGTGTCTGCCTCACGGACTAAAACTGGTAGTTGGTTCCACAGGAGAGGAGCCTGAGATAAACCAATCGTAGATAGAGGAGTCTTATTTTTAATAAGATCGATCTTATTTGTGTATTTATTGATCAGGAAGGCCAGCTCTGTGATTGGATGCCCTCTGGACTCCGTGCAGGAGGTGGAAAACAGACGGATCCTAACATCTCTGTTGGAAAATGCCCCCCCCCCCCCCCCCGCATGCATTAAGCTGGTGCTGAACTGGAGAGCTCCTTCAGTGACAGACTGCTGCACCGTAAACGCACCAGGGAGCGTTATCACAGATCCTTCATCTTTATAACCACCACTGTTCCCATCAACCTCAACCAGTTCTTCCATTCATGCTGATTCTGCTCAGTTTCTACCTTAGTCAGTTAAATAACCTGCTGCTGTCATTCTGCACATCTCTGATGTTGCTGCTATTTTCAAGTATCCATTACTGGAACAATGTTCATAGCTAAATATTGGTTATTTATTCTCCAGGTGCACATTTTTAAATTGTGCACCTGGAGATGGAGTAAAGAGTGGGTAACAGTAGAGAAGCTGCAGAGAGGTCTGTTAAACTAGGACACTGCTTCCTGGTCTGCACCCTGGGGGGTCAGGGTTCTGGAGGACTAATAAATGTGGCCAGATTCCTAGAAAGAAGAGCTGCACCATCCAAAGTGGGATGGATGCCGTCTCCGAATCAGACCAGGCTTTCCCCAAAAGGATTGCCAATTATTAATGTAGCCCACGTTGTTTTCAGGACACCACCTAGACGACCAGCGGTTGAATGACGACATGCGGCTAAACATGTCATCACTGGTCAGATCAGGGAGGGGACCAGAGAAAATTACCGAGTCCCACATTGTTTTGGCAAACTTACACACCGAAGCAACACTACGTCATTATCTACATCTGTGCTCCATTTTTCCTCTAATTACCATTAAAGTTAAACAATCAGACTCATGCAGAGGAAGAGCGGAAAAGTTCAGCTTTAAATTCTCATGGTTTTTCATGTTACAAAGTGATCTAAGTCCAGTTATCCTTAGAAGCAATGGAGCTGCAGACCACTGATCAATCTGAGGAAAACTGGGATTCTGAATCAAAATGGCTTCATTTTAACTGGTCTCAAAATAAAACCTGAAACTGGTGGGAGACCAACTGACTGCAGTTTCTTTATTCCCACAGATCATCCTCTAGAACCGAGAGAAATGTCTACCACTCATAGACAGGTGAACCTGATCCTGTTTTCTTTCTGTGGTTTGTTGAAGATGAGATCTACAGAAAACCAAAGTGACACAAACATAAACTTAGGGCTTAAAGTTATAGGGAAGCGGCTGTTCCAACTCGTTTCTAACGAGTGGTGCCCGACTTTACACGAGTGAATAAATAGAATGTGATTGGTTGATTATCAAGGGGGCGGGATTGTTGTAGCGGAAGGTTAGCAAGCTATTTGGTTGTTGCCGGTTGGTCGGTGTGTGGCTGGTTTGGTGTAGAAGGCTTCCAGCTGTACATGTTTGAGCCCTTGCCTCGCAACGCTGTCAGTTCTGTTAGCTCTACGCCTGCCGAAGACACAGACGTCCATCCCCGTGAACACTGGGACGCAACTCAATGGGAAAGGAAAGGATTCTGATTTCAACCGTTGCGTATATTAGCTGCGACACATGAATCAAGATGCTATGACCGAAAACATTTGATTGACAGATGACCGTTGATATATCATTGGCTGAATTTAGGTGTTCACGGGGATGGACGTCTGTGTCTTCAGCAGGCGTAGAGCTAACAGAACTGGCAGCGTTGCGAGGCAAGGGCTCAAACATGTACGGCTGGAAGCCTTCTACACCAAACCAAGCTTCTGCAGCCCTGCCGTCCTCTTCCACGACATCTTCGTCCCCGCTTTCCTCCTCTAAATAATAAATGGATGACGGAGGAGACTCACGACCTCCGACACTAAACTCTCCTCCTCTTGCATGTTTCCGCTGTCCATCGCGTTCCTTGACAGCGTCGTTTCTAAGTCCCCAATTTAGTGCTACTTGGTCCCAGTGGAATTTCCCATTGGGAACCTGCTAGCGCTAAGTTGCTAACTGGTTAGCAAGATGCTTCAGACAAACCGGCCACAACCAAACTTATTGTCAACCTTCCGCCACAACAACCCCACCCCCTTGATAAACAACAAATCGCATTTGTGTAAAGTCGGGCACCACTCTGGAAAATTTGGAAATTCAACATTTGTAACATCCGCTTCCCTACGACTTTAAACAGTTCCAGAGTTTTGCTCTGAGATGGTTAGTGGTACTTTTGTATCTTTTGGTTTTTGTTGGTGGTAAACCTAAAAGCCTTAAAGAAGAACCCGTCCTGTTCTCAACAGAGGATGCCCCATGTTTCTCAGCACCTCTGGTTGTAGACGGCTTGTTCACCGTCTACAACCCCTCATCCAACGCCGGACGACACACAGTTCACCCGTGAGGGTTCCCCAAAGACTGGCCGTGGCGCTGCGTGTTTTGGCTTCGGGTGCAAACCAACAGACCATCGCTCGGAGCTACAAACTAGCGTCCTGCACGGTGTCTGGGATAGAGTCCGAGGTGAGCCAGGCGCTGTGGGCGGAGCTACAGCCAGAGTTTCTGCCATTAGGGACCAAACAGGAAATACGCATAGAGTAGAGCGGATGTAGAACTGACCAATCAGAGGCCTCCTGTCTGCGGTCACCTACAATTTTAGAAGAGCACCAGAGTGTCTGCGGAAGGGGCGGGGCATATCTGCTTTAACTGCGACTCGCACGCAGACCGCCTGGTTGTTTCTGAGCATAGACCAGGCTTTAGGTCTGCAGACCTGCTGATGGTCCTCTGCCCAAAGCTGGAGATGTTCTTCAGACCCCTCCACACATCTCTGCCATTTTTCTATGCCAGTTGTTCTTCCATCTTCCTCCTATAGTCCTTCTTTGCCGCCCTGATCCTCCATTGGAGCCTCGCTGGACGCTTCGCTGTTCTCCGTCTCCTGAGCTGAGGGCTCTCTTCTTCTGGTTAGGACTTTCAGCTCAGGAGTCATCCAGCGCTGGTTGAAGCTCCGTAGCTGTGGCGTGGGCACCGTGCTCTCCACAGTGAAGGTCATGTAGTCAGGCTGATGATGTCATCACCATGAAAGCTTTGGAACATGCTCCAGTCTGCGGTTCTGAAACAATCATCTGACCAAACATCATGCTAACAGCCAGGCTACTTTTAGCTTCACTTTGAACAAATTCTTGTTCCTAATAAAGTGGTTTAGAGGAACTGTTAGTTTATCACCACCGCAGCGAGGCGGGGGAGGGGGTGTCAGCCCCTCTAACCAGGGAAGCTTTTATCTACGATCTCAGCATGCAGATATTCTGCATAGATTTAGATCCTGTGGAACAATCAGAAAATGTTCCTGCGGAGCAGCAACCAGGTTAGAAAGTAGATCTTCTGAAAGAACCTTCATCCTCCCCACTGATGTTGGAGCGGTTCTGGGAACCATCAGGCTGCGTTCAGACGTTGCACCTGGTTTTACTCAGGGAGCATTTTTACCTTTCATTCAGTCCGTTGGTTCCAGGAACCGTAGAGCTTTTACCCAAACAATCAAAGCTGTTCTGGTTCCTACAGATAACCGACTCTAAAGCTCTAATAATCTGTTTCTCTGCCAGGATTCCCAGTTTTAACCTCAGTGAACGATGATATATTCTCTCATTTAAACAGAGGAAGCTGCATAAACTGGATCCAGTAAAACACTGGAGACTCTGCTGAGCGAAAGCTGCAGTGAATGTAAAACAGCAGAGGCAGGAATCTCCATCAAACAGGGAGAAAAGTCATGCAAATATCACTGCATGGGTTTAAATGCACTTTTTAAAGCTGATCGGAACCAAGAAGACATTAAAATCTGACTGAACCCAAAGCGACTGAGCGGAGGATGAGAGGAGCAGCAATTCCTACCTTTGATTGTGGGAGTGGAGGAGATTCCTGTAGAAACAAGTGGACGAAGAGTCTGCACTAACAGGTGGTGAGACGGGCAGCGAGCATCTGAGGAGTTAGGAGGAGGAGGAGGAGGAGGAGGAGGAGGAGGAGGAGGAGGAGGAGGAGGAGGAGGTAGATCTCCCTGTGACAGATCCAGAGTTTTTCCACCTCGCTGCTCCGGTTTTCCCTCCGATTCCAGAATGTTTAATATTTCCTCTCAGAGCTTCACGTTCATCTGAAGTGTCAACAGCGATGAAGCTCTTCCTTTAATCACACTACACATGTATTAGATTAACTCACCTCCCCCCTCTCCCCCCTCTCCCCCCTCTCCCCCCTCAGGCTGCAGATTGTGTGTGTGTGGGGGGGGGGGGGGGGGGGGGGGGGGGGGGATAATGTGCCAACAGCAGCATCTGTCTTTCTGCTTCTCTCTGTATAATTTGGCTTTAATGATGCCTAATGATACATGTGTGGATCCAACACACAGGAAGGGAGATCTGACCTCCTCCTCCTCCTCCTCCTCCTCCTCGGTGGTCAGAGACGGAGGGGTCCCTGGGGTGATGGAACCCCTTTTTAAATCCATCCTCCTCCTCCTCCTCTGCAGATCATCCGCCCACTCACAGCAGTTCTTTCTCTTCTCCATCCAAACTCCTCTGCTCTCCTGCTTCTTCTCCTCACCTGATCAACAGAGTGAGACCAGAACCAGGACAGTACCATCGATACCATGGACCACCCGGAGGAGATGTTCACCACATCATCTCCTGCTGCTCCTGCAGTGGACATCTTCTCCTCAGCATGTTTGGAGCTGAGGAGCTGAAGGGTGGAAGCTGCCTACAGCCTGCAGACCTTCAGGTCCACCAGGAAACAGAAGCTCTGTTCACAGAAGAAGAGCAGCTCCTGCTTCCAGCAGGAGGCGCAGACCTTCAGGTCCACCAGGAAACAGAACGCTCTGTTCACAGCAGAAGAGCAGCTCCTGCTTCCAGCAGGAGGCGCAGACCTTCATGAAACACCTAAAGAATGTTTGAATGGAAGACATCTTGATCCGGAGGAGATGATGGAGGTCAAGCTAAACTCCCAGCAGAACCGTTCCTTCACTGATCCTTCAGCATCTGCTGCAGGAGGAGGAGGAGATGATGGAGGAGGAAGGAGTTTAATGCAGCAGCTTGGAGCAGCTGCATCAAACTCCTCCTCCCCCTGGAGGACAATGAGATGGGAGAGAAGGAGGTGAGAGCAGAAGCTAAAAATGTTTTATAGCCTGAATCAACAGCATGTCATAAAGGATGAACATCAGCAGCAATCTCCTCCTGCTGGTGACAGGAGGAGGTGCATTACTCCTCTGAGATCTTTGAGAGTCTGCAGGTGGTGGAACCTCCCACTGTGGCTCAGAGCCTCCGTCACTAGAGAACCTCCTCTGCTTAGTGTGAGGGATTGCTGAAGAGTCAACAAGTCGATGCAATCAGCTGGTTTTCCTTAGATAGAAAACTTTGAATCAATCTGACTGGATGATCTGGTTGATCTGGATCTATAAGGTGACCTGAAATGACATGATGTGAATTGGAGCTATAGAAATAAACTGAATAGAATGAATAAATGAATTAAACATAAAGTAGAAGGAAGATAAAAACAAGATAAAAGCAGGAAGAAAGTAGAACATCTGGATCAGAATCTTAAACTAACGATTCCTCAGTTAACAGTTTATCAGTCAAAAGCAGCTTTAAACTAATTAGTTATTTAAACTAATTAGTTATTTAAACTAATTAGTTATTTAAACTAATTAGTTTAAAGATCTCAGGCTTTCAGATCTTTTCCAGCCTGATGGGAGTTTGTTCCAGATCCATGGAGCATAGATGCTGCTTCTCCATGTTTGGTTCCAGTTCTGGGTGGACAGAGTGGGCTGGAACTAGAAGATCTGAATCGTCTGGGAAGTAGATCCACAGACAACAGATCTGCTATGGACGGAGGTACTGATCTATTCAGTGATTTCTAGACTAACAAAGGGATTTTAAAGTCTATTCTCTGAGCTACAGGGAGCCATAGGAAGGACTTCAGAGCAGGGCTGATGTGATCTACTTTCTATAGCTCTAGTGAGGACGCAAGCAGCGGCGTCTGGATCAGCTGTCTGATCTACTTTCTATAGCTCTAGTGAGGACGCAGGCAGCAGCATCTGGATCAGCTGTCTGATCTACTTTCTATAGTTCTAGTGAGGACGCAGGCAGCAGCGTCTGGATCAGCTGTCTGATCTACTTTCTATAGCTCTAGTGAGGACGCAGGCAGCAGCATCTGGATCAGCTGTCTGATCTACTTTCTATAGTTCTAGTGAGGACACAGGCAGCAGCGTCTGGATCAGCTGTCTGATCTACTTTCTATAGTTCTAGTGAGGACGCAGGCAGCAGCGTCTGGATCAGCTGTCTGATCTACTTTCTATAGCTCTAGTGAGGACGCAGGCAGCAGCATCTGGATCAGCTGTCTGATCTACTTTCTATAGTTCTAGTGAGGACGCAGGCAGCAGCGTCTGGATCAGCTGTCTGATCTACTTTCTATAGTTCTAGTGAGGACGCAGGCAGCAGCGTCTGGATCAGCTGTCTGATCTACTTTCTATAGTTCTAGTGAGGACGCAGGCAGCAGCCTCTGGATCAGCTGTCTGATCTACTTTCTATAGTTCTAGTGAGGACGCAGGCAGCAGCGTCTGGATCAGCTGTCTGATCTACTTTCTATAGTTCTAGTGAGGACGCAGGCAGCAGCGTCTGGATCAGCTGTCTGATCTACTTTCTATAGTTCTAGTGAGGACGCAGGCAGCAGCATCTGGATCAGCTGTCTGATCTACTTTCTATAGTTCTAGTGAGGACGCAGGCAGCAGCGCCTGGATCAGCTGTCTGATCTACTTTCTATAGTTCTAGTGAGGACGCAGGCAGCAGCGCCTGGAACAGCTGTCTGATCTACTTTCTATAGTTCTAGTGAGGACGCAGGCAGCAGCGCCTGGATCAGCTGTCTGATCTACTTTCTATAGTTCTAGTGAGGACGCAGGCAGCAGCGTCTGGATCAGCTGTCTGATCTACTTTCTATAGTTCTAGTGAGGACTCTGTTGCAGTGATCAATTCTACTATAGATAAATGCAATCCTGCTGGTCATCAGTCCTTTAATCCTGCAGATGTTCTTCAGGTGATCAAAGGCTGACTCACTAACTGCCTTTCTGAGCCTCTGAGGTTCCATCAATGGAAGCTCAGCAGTTAGCTGATAGAAGCTAATGACGTAGCATCTAGAATTGCGCCATATAACCTCCTTTAGCATCTTATAATACCTCCATCAATAGCTGGTGGAACCAAAACCTTCCAACCGTCAGGCTGAGTTAGGGTCATGACCTTAACCTTTGACCTGCTAACTCAGGCCTGGAGAGATGGAGCCCCACCTTTTCTCCATAATGGGCCTGATCCCTGCAGATGAAGAACCGATTGGTCCATGGTTCCCTCAGGAACTAACCATCTGGTGAGAACATTGCTTTCTGTGTTAGTTTTCTATTTTCCTTGGTTTCCTGCGCTGAGCTGTTGGGGATCTAGTTGTTCTGACTCAGTAAAGCGTGAAGCTCTGCGCTGTCTGGTTGGACTGAGGCGGGCCCGCATGAGCCAAGTTTGTCCTTGATCACTGTAATCATCCCATCAGAACTGGGCTGCAGGAGAAGTTTCCAGGAAGCAGACCCCCAGTGAGTGAACAGGTCGTAATTAGGGAGATTTCTTCACAATCATTCTTCTGCTCCTGTTCTCTTCCTTCTTAAAGATGAATGTCAACTAAAACACATAGAATCTGCCTGACAAACAAAACTCAGGACAAAATTAGACTGATCTGGTGAAGAGATGTGGACATCTAGAAAGGTATGAATGTTACAAGCAGGCAGCGGCCATCTTGGAACAGTCATCCTCAGATCATCCCTCAGTAGATCATCCCTCAGTAGATCATCCCTCAGTAGATCATCCCTCAGTAGATCATCCATCAGCAGATCATCCCTCGGTAGAAAATCCATCAGTAGATCATCCATCAGCAGAACATCCCTCGGTAGATCATCCCTCAGTAGAAAATCCATCAGTAGATCATCCCTCAGCAGATCATCCCTCAGTAGATCATCCCTCAATAGATCATCCCTCAATAGATCATCCCTCAGTAGATCATCCCTCAATAGATCATCCCACAGTAGATCATCCCTCAGTAGATCATCCCTCGATAGATCATCCCTCAGTAGATCATCCCTCAATAGATCATCCCTCAGTAGATCATCCCTCAATAGATCATCCCACAGTAGATCATCCCTCAGTAGATCATCCCTCGATAGATCATCCCTCAGTAGATCATCCCTCAATAGATCATCCCTCAATAGATCATCCCTCAGTAGATCATCCCTCAATAGATCATCCCTCAATAGATCATCCCTCAGTAGATCATCCCTCGATAGATCATCCCACAGTAGATCATCCCTCAGTAGATCATCCCTCAATAGATCATCCCTCAGTAGATCATCCCTCAATAGATCATCCCACAGTAGATCATCCCTCAGTAGATCATCCCTCAGTAGATCATCCCTCAATAGATCATCCCTCAGTAGATCATCCCTCAATAGATCATCCCACAGTAGATCATCCCTCAGTAGATCATCCCTCGATAGATCATCCCTCAGTAGATCATCCCTCAATAGATCATCCCTCAGTAGATCATCCCTCGATAGATCATCCCTCAGTAGATCATCCCTCAGTAGATCATCCCTCAGTAGATCATCCCTCTGTAGATCATCCCTCAATAGATCATCCCTCAGTAGATCATCCCTCGATAGATCATCCCTCAGTAGATCATCCCTCAGTAGATCATCCCTCAGTAGATCATCCATCAATAGATCATCCCTCAGTAGATCATCCCTCAGTAGATCATCCCTCAGTAGATTATCCATCATCAGAACATCCCTCAGTAGATCATCCCTCAGTAGATCACCCCTCGGTAGATCATCCCTCAGTAGAACATCCCTCAGTAGATCATCCCTCAGTAGATCATCCATCAGCAGAACATGCCTCGGTAGATCATCCCTCAGTAGAACATCCCTCAGTAGATCATCCCTCAGTA